CTCTTGTTTGATAAACTGCCAGTGGAAACTCATGAAAGTGGTCTCTTGGTTTGTGCACTAAATTCCCACTGGTATAAATGTCACACCGTTGTGGGACATAAAAGTGTGCAGGACCACTGAGGGTTGTGTATTCTAGTCGCACTACGAGACCCTGAGCACAGGATGGCTGCCGTTGAGGGTGCCCTTTAACTTTCTATTCAGTTTGATGAAAACAGATAATACTCGATAAAAATTCACAGATTTCCAGTGTCAAAGCAGCATTATAGATAAATAAAAGGCCCTCATGTACGCAGCTATTTTTTCTTCAAAAGGCCTCTAATAAACACAGTTAGTAGTTGATAGTTTTTTTGTTTCCTGAGAAAACATCCGAGGCAGAAGCACGCGTGAGATCACTGTTTCCTGCCTAGATAGAAGATTTGGTTTCAAAAACACAACCCAGAGGTTTGTGGCTTTATTTCTGCTAAGCGAGCTCCGCTGGTGGAGTCAGTTACACTTAATCTCTGATCGCTTTACTGATAAGTGTAAAATGCGTGGTCAAAACTCCTCTGCATGAGTCTTACACGTCACGGTGAGATCAAACGTTCAGAATGTTCTCCCGTAATATTTCACACAGTTCATATCAATTTAAATAACTATTCTTCCTTGAGTCGTGGATATTTGAACAAGACATCAACTAATGTCTTAAAGATTAAATTGCATTCAAGTAACAATTGGTAAAGAGATCAGTTTTATTAAATGAACTTTATACATTTGGGCTGTGTCTAACTATTGTGCCAATAATTAAAAAGGGGGCACAATGGACACCTACATACATTTATCACATCATACATAAAAACCTTTTCCATGTATTAGACATGGAACATTTGCACAGCCACAAAATAATAATTCACTGTCAGAAGCACTTACAGCAATAAGCACCTACAGCAATAAGCACCAGCATGTGAAAGTTCAACTCAATTTATCTACAAAATTTACTGAATAAAGAAGCAAGCAAAACTTTATTTATATAGTCCGTTTCATTCCAGGTGGAAGCACAATGTGCTGTGAAGGGCGTGAGCTACCAAGCAAGTAGCAGCAACAAAACAAAATGTGGATAGTGTCAAGACAAAACATTAAGTAAACACATTTAAAACAGACACATACAAATAAATGTGAGTTAAAATACATTAAGAAAGAGTAAAATAATTAAGATCAGCAACTGCCAAGTAAAAGGTAATAAGAATTAAAACTATTAAAAAGTAAAAATAAAGATTATATAAAATGATAATAAAGTTGTTAATAACAATTGACCAATAGAAAATAATAAGACACACAAATGAATCAATAAGCTGTATATAAGTATTATTATATTTACAATTTTACAAAGAAAATGTCCTACCATTATTTTATTTTATTTATTTATTTTGTTAAGAAAATAATAAGTATTTTTGGATACAGACATTGAATAAACATATTCATGAGCTACAGGACATAGAAAAATAAAATCAAAAAGTGTTTTTAATGTATTTTAAAAGACAGCACAGTGTTATCTCACCTCATGTGAATAATATGAATAAGCATAAACAAATACAGCTTGTACTTATGTAACACTTTACCTTAATTCCTCTATTTAGCATTTATATATAAATTTAATAAATGGTGTATAGCACATTGCAATGTAGTTGTATACAGATACAGAGTGCACTTTAAGTTTATTAATATACAGGATTTTCAACAGTTATAACTTTTCGTGGAGACCTATTTTAAATTATTACAGCTGTCTTTTACTATATTGACATTCATTATATATATATATATTATCTGTTTATATAGCAGCCCCGGCTTATGGGTGCCCACAGGAGGAGCTTTAATTGTTGTCTTCCTACAACCACACTGCAGTAAAAAAAGTTATGTAATGTGTATATACAGCTTATAAATGCTAAATAGGGGGTACTTTAAGTATACTCAAGTACATTAACTTGACTTGTAAATAAAATAAGAGCCCAGACTGATGAATTGTTGTAAACTTAACTACCAAATAGTATTTAAATAATTAATAACATTCGCTCAAATCGGACCCATTACAGCAGTTAAATGCTACTCACACAATCAGTATTAATAATCTAATGATATAATAGCAGTATAACACTCAAGGTGATTATTTGTCTCCATTGACTACTTTTACATTTGACACTTAAAATAATATTTTAGTATTATTACCATTTTCAGTGCACTTTTACTGGTTACACAGTGTAGAATGATTACTTTTACTTAAGTAAGGGATCTGAATAAATCCTCCACCACTGAGAAACACCACCTGAAAATAAGGAGCTAAAAAAAAGCAAATGCTGTGGGAGCCCCTGAGCCGAGTGTAAGCCAAGTGTCTTGCCAGATAGCTTTTTCAGTACGAACCCAGTGTTTTACTGGTTCAGTGCCAGTACCAGTTGGAGGTTAGTTTTTTAGGGTGCTTAGTGTTCTTAGCGTATCTATCGTAGCAACTACCTACAGTAGTTTTTCTCATTTGTGTTTTGCATTCTGTAGCAAGGTGTTGCTTTTTACTTGGTGTGTTACAGCTCTGGAAAGTCTGAAGCCACAAAGCCACAGCCTTGTGCAGCTCTGCTATATATTTCAGTTTGCACCTGTAACCACAGTCCACATCCAGGCACCGTTCACATGTAAAAGCTGACCCCAGCTACATGAATTTGTCATTATTTTGATTCAGTGAGGAAGAAGTTTCATGGCTTTTCATGGCTGAAACATCGTAAGGTATACATTGATCAGCTATAACAACCCTGGTGGTCAGAATGTTCTGCAGCCTCCTACCAACAGACTG